AGGTGAACTATAAATCCCAGCAACTACAACTCCCAAATGACAAAATTAATCCCCCCAACCCCACCAGTATTCAAATTTGGTCCAGTGATGAAAATACATCCTGCATATCAGATATTTACATAATAACAGTAGCAAAATTGCAGATATGAAGTAGCAACAAAAATAACGTTATGGTTTGGGGTCACCACAACATGAGGAACTGTATTAAGGGGTCACGGCATTAAGAAGGTTGAGAACCACTGTTCTAGAACATGGCCATACAGCCCGAAAAACCTACAACAACCCATTGGGGGTCAGCACAACATGAGGAACTGGATTAAGGGGTTGCGGCATTCGGAAGGGTGAGAACCACTGCCATACACCTTAGAATATTTCTATATCCTCGTACCCTTTCTGTACGAAAACCAGTTTGCAAACCACTTAATAAACATCGCGGCGCTAAAATCTGCAATCCAAATCAGAAAAGAACAATGTGATGTGGCGGCAAAAAAGGCCAATGGGATTTTGGCCTGTATCAATAGGAGCATAGTGTCTAGATCTAGGGAAGTCATGCTCCCCACGCTCTATTCCGCTTTGGTTAGACCACACCTGGAATATTGTGTCCAATTCTGGGCACCACAATTCAAGAGAGATATTGACAAGCTGGAATGTGTCCAGAGGAGGGCGACTAAGATCAAGGGTCTGGAGAACAAGCCCTATGAAGAGCGGCTTAAGGAGCTGGGCATGTTTAGCCTGAAGAAGAGAAGGCTGAGAGGAGACATGATAGCCATGTATAAATATGTGAGAGGAAGTCACAGGGAGGAGGGAGCAAGCTTGTTTTCTGCTTCCTGGAGACTAGGACACGGAACAATGGCTTCAAACTACAAGAAAGGAGATTCCATCTGAACATGAGGAGAACTTCCTGACTGTGAGAGCCGTTCAGTAGGGGAACTCTCTGCCCGGAGTGTGGTGGAGGCTCCTTCTTTGGAAGCTTTTAAACAGAGGCTGGATGGCCATCTGTCAGGGGTGATTTGAATGCAATATTCCTGCTTCTTGGCAGAATGGGGTTGGACTGGATGGACCAGGAGGTCTCTTCCAACTCTTTGATTCTATGATATCAGATATTTACAGAACAGAAGTAAAATGACAGTTATGAAGTAGCGACGAAAATAATGTTTTGGTTGGGGGTCAGCACAACATGAGGAACTGGATTAAGGGGTTGCGGCATTTGGAAGGGCGAGAAACACTGCTGTACACCTTTTAAATACTTCTATACACTCTTACGGTTATGAAGTAGCAACGAAAATAATGTTTTGGTTGGGGGTCAGCACAACATGAGGAACTGGATTTAAGGCATTGTGACATTCGGAAGGGTGAGAACCACTGCCATTCACCTTAGAATACTTCTATATCCTCGTACCCTTTCTGTACGAAAACCAGTTTGCAAACCACTTAATAAACATCGTGGCGCTAAAATCTGCAATCCAAATCAGGAAACGTGCCCAATTTGCCAGCGATATTTGGGTACATCGTTCCACTTTGCAATTTCGCCCCCGAAGGGAAGCGAAAATATGTTCCCTCTTTGCTTCCATTGCAAAACGGTTCTGTAAAATTAAAAAAAGGAGGCCTGCGACAGACAGACAAGTGGATCAGAATTAATTAAAATCAATCCTGCTGGTGTTTTTCCAAGACTGGGAGGGAGGGAATGAGGGAGGGAGACCGGGCAGTGTTGATTATCTTTTGCTGCTCCGAACGTGCAAAGGGATGCCGGCTTTCTGCCTTTGATGAACTCTAAACACAACCATGTTCTGCTGCATGAGGATTTTGGGACATATTCTCCAGCCTTTCCCCTCCAAAATAACCCAAATGCGGTCCCAAAACACGAGCACTTTGGGGCATTTCGTTTGTAATTCATTCCCATCCCCAGCCAGATGTTTTAAATATTCATGCGGCGAGCATTTCGCTGTCGCGGCGGATCCGAATCCCCTCCGCCTTGTAACATTATTTGGCACGGTATCCGAAATCCCAGTCCCCGAATCGTCTTCTCTTTTTGGGGAGCAAAACGGAGACAAGCCAAACACAGCGTTTTGAGACAGCGTTTTAATGACACACGAAAGGAAGGAAATAAAAATTGAAGAGCCCACCAGGGACAATGAAACCAAACCCAACCCCCCCAAAAACGACAAAACCCCCCCCCCCCCCACGTACGAAAATAACTCTCGAGTCCTTCTTTTCTGTTGTTTGTACAAGGTCAGGGATATTTACAAGCCATGATTGGGGATTGTGGGGGGCAAAACCCGCTGGTCCCTTTAAGGCACAGCTTTGGGGAGGGAGAAATCTTGTGTGGATGCAAAAATGGAGAGGTTTGGAGAGGTCCGAGGGGGGGAAGCAAAGAAGGAAAAGCACCAACCAAATCCAAGCTTAACGTCTTGTGTGCGGGTTCGGTCTTTCTAAAACCAAAAGCAAAATATAACTTTGTGGAGAAGGAGCCAATACCAAATGGGCCCTGTTGTTTTGGATTGCAAATGGTAAACTTGCAACATGGTGGAAAATAGGAAGCAGTGCTCCTTGGTGCAAAATAGGATACATTGTTCCTTGGAGGAACTTAGGAAGCAATGCTCCTTGGTGCAAAATAGGATACATTGTCCCGTGATGGGAAACAGGAAGCAATGCTCCTTGGAGGAAAAAAGGGTTACATTTTGATGGGAAATAGGATACATTGCTCCTTGAAGGAACATAGGAAGCATTGCTCCTTGGTGCAAAATAATTACCTTGCTACTTGATGGGAAATACGAAGCATTGCTCCGTGGTGCAAAATAGGCACTTTGCTCCTTGATGGGAAATAGGAAGCATTGCTCCTTGGTGCAAAATAATTACCTTGCTCCTTGATGAGAATTAGGAAGCAATGCTCCTTGGTGCAAAATAAGCACCTTGCTCCTTGATGGGAAATAGGAAGCATTGCTCCTTGGTGCAAAATAAGCACCTTGCTCCTTGATGAGAATTAGGAAGCAACGCTCCTTGGTGCAAAATAAGCACCTTGCTCCTTGATGGGAAACAGGAAGCATTGCTCCTTGGTGCAAAATAAGCACCTTGCTCCTTGATGGGAAATAGGAAGCATTGCTCCTTGGTGCAAAATAAGCACCTTGCTCCTTGATGGGAAATAGGAAGCATTGCTCCGTGGTGCAAAATAGGCACCTTGCTCCTTGATGGGAAATAGGAAGCATTGCTCCGTGGTGCAAAATAGGCACCTTGCTCCTTGATGGGAAATAGGAAGCATTGCTCCGTGGTGCAAAATAGGCACCTTGCTCCTTGATGGGAAATAGGAAGCATTGCTCCGTGGTGCAAAATAGGCACCTTGCTCCTTGATGGGAAATAGGAAGCATTGCTCCGTGGTGCAAAATAGGCACCTTGCTCCTTGATGGGAAATAGGAAGCATTGCTCCGTGGTGCAAAATAGGCACCTTGCTCCTTGATGGGAAATAGGAAGCAATGCTCCTTGGTGCAAAATAAGCACCTTACTCCTTGATGGGAAATAGGAAGCATTGTTCCTTGGAGGAACATAAGAAATTGCTCCTTGGTGCAAAATAGGAAGCATTGCTCCTAAATGGGAAATAGGAAGCTCTTCCTGATTGTAAATAGGAAGCAGTGCTCCTTGGTGCAAAATAAGCACCTTGCTCCTTGATGGGAAATAGGAAGCATTGCTCCAGGGTGCAAAATGGGATACATTGTTCCTTGGAGGAACTTAGGAAGCATTGTTCCTTGATACAAAATAGGATACATTGCCCCGTGATGCAAAATAGGAAGGATTGCTCCGTGATAGGAAATAGGAAGCCTGGCTCTTTGATGCAAAATAGGAAGCATTGCTCCTGGAAGCCTTGTTCCTTGGAGGAAAAGAGGAAGCACTGCTTGTTGATGCAGAATACGAAGCAATGCTCCTTGGTGCCAAATAGGCAGCCTTGCTCCTTGATGGGAAATCAGAAGCATTGCTTCTGGATGCTAAATAGGAAGCACTGCTCCTTGGTGCAAAATTAGAAGTATTGCTCCTTGGAGGAAAAAAGGGTTACACCTTGATGGGAAATGGGATACACTACTCCTTGGAGGAACATAGGAAGCATCGCTCCTTGGTGCAAAATAGGATGCGTTGCTCCTTGATGGAAAAAGGAAGCATTGCTCCTTGTTGGAAAAAAAGAAGGATTGCTCCTTGGTGGGAAATAGGATACATTGCTCCTTGGAGGAACACAGGAAGCATTGCTCCTTGGTGCAAAATAGGAAGCACTGCTCCTTGATTGTAAATAGGAAGCTCTCCCTGATTGGAAATAGGAAGCAGTGCCCTCTGATGCAAAATAGGAAGCAGTGCTCCTTGATGGGAAATAAAATCAGTGCTTTGTTGAAGGCTTTCATGGCTGGAATCATTGGTTATTGTAGTTTTTGGGGGGGGTTATATGGCCATGTTCTAGAGGCATTCTCTCCTGACGTTTCGCCTGCATCTATGACAAGCATCCTCAGAGGTAGTGAGGTCTGACAGCCTCTGAGGATGCTTGCCATAGATGCAGGTGAAACATCAGGAGAGAATGCCTCTAGAACATGGCCATATAACCCCCCCAAAAAACTACAATAACCCAAAAGCAGTGCTCCTAGGAAGCAGTGCTCCTTGAGGGGAAATAGGAAGCCTGGTTCTCTGATGCAAAATAGGAAACCTTGCTCCTTGGTGCAGAAGAGGATGCATTGCTCCTTGATGGGAAAAAGGAAGCACTGTTTCTTGGTGCAAAATAGGAAGCATTCCTTCTAGATGGGAATAGCAAGCATTGCTCCTTGGTGGGAATAGGAAGCATCGCTCTTTGGTGCAAAATAGGAAACATTGCTCCTTGATGGGAAAAAGGAAGCATTGTTTCTTGGTGCAAAATAGGAAGCATTCCTTCTAGATGGAAATAGCAAGCATTGCTCCTTGGTGGGAACAGGAAGCATCGCTCCTTGGTGCAAAATAAGAAACATTGCTCCTTGATGGGAAAAAGGAAGCATTGTTTCTGGGTAAAAAATAGGAAGCATTGCTCCTTGGTGAAGAAGAGGATGCACTGCATCTTGGTGCAAAATAGGAAGCATTCTTCCTTGATGGGAATAGGAAGCATTGCTCCTTGATGGAAATAGCAAGCATTCTTCCTTGAAGGGAATAGGAAGCATTCCCCTTTGATGGGAATAGGAAGCATTCTTCCTTGATGGGAATAGGAAACATTCCTCTTTGATGGGAACAGGAAGCATTGCTCCTTGGTGCAAAAGAGGATGCATTGCATCTTGGTGCAAAATAGAAAGCATTGCTCCTTGTTGGGATTTGCAAGCATTGCTCCTTGAAGGGAATAGGAAGCATTGCTCTTTGATGGGAATAGCAAGCATTGCTCCATGGTGCAAAAGAGGATGCACTGCATCTTGGTGCAAAATAGGAAGCATTCTTCCTTGATGGGAATAGGAAGCATTCCCCTTTGATGGGAAAAGGAAGCATTCCTCTTTGATGGGAATAGGAAGCATTCCTCTTTGATGGGAACAGGAAGCATTGCTCTTTGATGGGAACAGGAAGCATTGCTCCTTGGTGCAAAAGAGGATGCACTGCATCTTGGTGCAAAAGAGGAAAGCCTTGCACCTTAGTGGGTAATGAGAAACCCGGGTCCAATTGGCCAAAGCAACCTTGGTTTGGGAAGAAAAGAAAGGCCAGCATCTCCACTGGGAGCCCAGTTGGTTCCTCCCAGCACCAGGCTGGGGAGATATAGCACCGGAATCAAAGCACCGACGCCAAAAGGGAGAGATGTAACCGGCATCGGAACCTGGAGTTCTACACGAAAGCAAGGCTACACTGGTTCCTTTTATTTTCCCCCCGACAAAGCTGCCCCGAAGCCCAGTTATACAGTCCTCTTAACATTGAAGAACAACCACCGCACGCACACACATACACACACACATTTAAATCTTGTTAAGGCAGCAGCACAGACAAAACTTCTCGGAAGTCCAGGGAAGTCTTCAGTTCTTTAAAAACCAACATGAAAACCCCCGAATTCTCGGAGAGGGGGTCCCTCTTTCCAAGGGATGAGTGGCTGTTGCCTTTGGAAAGGTTCCCCAAACAGATTCCGAGCCCCGAAAAGGAGCCCATAAATTACGGAAGAAAGTTAAAATCTGTCTGTGAAAAACACCAAAACCAAACTCCCCTGTTTTCCCCGAATGGTATCTTGGAGAGGAGGACCCCTCTTCCCAAGGGATTGTTCTCTCGCAGCGCTCGACTTTGGAATAGTCCCCCAAAACAGCTCCTGGCCCCCCAAAAAGGAGTCCATTACATTATGGAAGGGGCTTAAGAGGATCTTTGAAACAAACCAAACTTCCCTGTTTGCCCCGAATGGTTTCTGGGAGAGGAGGTCCCTCTCGCCAAAGGATTGATTGTTCTCGGGCAGCTCTTGCTTTTGGAAAGGTTCCCCTCCAAACGGTCCCAAACTCCGCTCGTAAGAGTCATTTTGGAGAGGGAGAAAAAGTCCTTTTCCTTTCTTTCCAGGCTCAAACGTAGACTGCCGTCTTTGAGATGATGGAGCCGTCGTGCTGGGACTCCATGTCGTCGTATTCGTAGCCGTGAAGGGCCGGACCCAGCCGCAGCATAGGCCCCAGCTGGTCCTCGTCCTCGAAGCGGTGGTGATGGTGGCCGGCGTAGCCATACGGAGGCGGCCGCTGCTCCTCGCGCTCGTCCTCGTCGTCGTAGTCGTCCTCCTCGTCCTCGTCTCGCCTTCTCCCCGGAGCGGCTTTGAGCGGCCGGTCGAGTTCGGCGAAGTCCCTGGCGGGCGGAGGGGCCGTCCCGTTGCCGAAGACGCGGGTCTTGGGGTCGTAGGAGCCCTTGCCGCCCCGCTGCTCCCGTTGCCGCCGGCGCCGGCGGAGGAGGAAGACGGTGAGGATGGCCCCCAGGATGGCCACGGCCAGGAGGCCCCCCACGATGGACCCCGCCAAGGCTCCAGCGCCGCCGCTCTGCCTCCTCGCCGGCCGGTCTGAGTAAAGAAAGCAAGACGGAAGGAGGGTCACTCGGAGGATAAGGGCAGCACCGGGGAAGGGGCAGAGCGGCAGGCGGAGCCGGGGCGGGGCACACCTCGCGTAAGGAAGGAAGGAAGGAAGGGGGGGGTCTCCGTCATGGAGGAGACCCTGTTCGGGAAGGGTCCCAAAGGCCTTCCTTGCAGAGGTCTGCTTCTCGGCACCCAAAGGGCTTTAACGGGCCTGGCTCTCCTCCCAGGATGCAAAGGCCCACTCCAGGTTGGAAAGCAAACGGTAAACAATGCATCGTTGTTTCGTGGCACAAAGGGGTGAAAAGCACACAGGCAACAGAAATTGGAAACACTACAGTTTGGTGACAGGTAACCCACCTTGAGCCACAAGCAGAGGCAGGTAAGACATACCATTATTACTACTACTAGTACTACTACTACTAGCCGTCCCCTGCCACGCATTGCTGTGGCCCACATGGGGGTTCTGTGTGGGAGGTTTGGCCCAATTCTATCTTTGGTGGGGTTCAGAATGCTCTGTGATTGTAGGTGAACTATACATCCCAGCAACTACAACTCCCAAATATCAAGATTCTATTTTCCCCAAACTCCACAGCCCGAAAAACTCACACCAACCCAGTGATTCTAGCCATGAAAGCCTTTGACAACACACGAAACCAGAGATAGTTGCAAACCCAAGTGCAACGAAGGATAACACGTGGGAAGAGCTCAGAGTGGGATTCAAGATGGCTTGTGAGCTCATATGCGTTTTGAAATGTCTATATTTGCAATCATTTGCAAATCTGGCCCAGAGCCTAGAAAAGTTCCTCCTAGAAGCAGTGCTTCTCCGCTGCGGAACGAACAGTTTGGCCCCACTTGAACTGTGATGGAGTCCTGGGAGATGTAGTTTGACAAGGTCTCGAGCCTTCTCTGCCCAAGAGGGATGGCACCTCCCCAAACTACACCTCCGAGGATTCTAAAGTGGCGTCAAAGTGCATTCGTTTTGGGAACCGGACCCTCCAAAAAAGGGGGGAAATCTTCGCAAACTTTGTGCCGCTTTACCCAAATGTTTGGCGCTTACCTCTCACGAAGATGACCTGCTCGGTGGCCACTTGCCCCACGCGGTTGGTGGCCTGGCAGATGAAGGTCGTGTTGACGGAGGCGTCCACGTTTTGCACCAGGAGGTTCCCGCCTTGCACCGTCACCGTCTTCGGAAGCGGACCGCTGGACCTGGAAAGGGGCAACCAAAGCAGAGGCGCCGTGAAGACCCGAAAGAGGAATCCAACTAAGCACAACGCAAGGTTATGGAGCCCTGAGAGTTGTAGTTTCCCAAAGACCTGATTGTTCTTCTGCCAAAGAGTGCCAACTAAGCACAACTCAAGGTTATGGAGCCCTGAGAGTTGTAGTTTCCCAAGGGCCTGACTGTTCTTCTGCCAAAGAGTGCCATCTAAGCACAACTTAAGGTTATGGAGCCCTGAGAGTTGTAGTTTCCCAAATTGGCAGAAGAACAATTCTTTGGCAGAAAAAGAATCAGGTCTTTGGGAAACTACAACTCTCAGGGCTCCATAACCTTGAGTTTATGGAGCCCTGAGAGTTGTAGTTTCCCAATACCTGATGGTTCTTCTGCCAAAGAGTGCCAACTAAGCACAGGTCAAGGTTATGGAGCCCTGACAGTTGTAGTTTCCCAAAGACCTGATTGTTCTTCTGCCAAAGAGTGCCAACTAAGCACAACTCAAGGTTGTGGAGCCCTGAGAGTTGTAGTTTCCCAAGGACCTGGCTGTTCTTCTGCCAAAGAGTGCCAACTAAGCGCAACTCAAGGTTATGGAGCCCTGAGAGTTGCAGTTCCCCAAGGACCTGATTGTTCTTCTGCCAAAGAGTGCCAACTAAGCACAGCTCAAGGTTATGGAGCCCTGAGAGTTGTAGTTTCCCAAAGACCAGATTGTTCTTCTGCCAAAGAGTGCCAACTAAGCACAACTCAAGGTTATGGAGCCCTGAGAGTTGTCGTTTCCCAAAGACCTGATTGTTCTTCTGCCAAAGGGTGCCAACTAAGCACAACTCAAGGTTATGAAGCCCTGAGAGTTGTAGTTCCCCAAAGACCTGATTGTTCTTCTGCCAAAGAGTGCCAACTAAGCGCCACTCAAGGTTACGGAGCCCTAAGAGTTGTAGCTTCCCAAAGACCTGATTGTTCTTCTGCCAAAGAGTGCCAACTAAGCGCCACTCAAGGTTACGGAGCCCTGAGAGTTGTAGCTTCCCAAAGACCTGATTGTTCTTCTGCCAAAGGGTGCCAACTAAGCACAACTTTCCTCTCTGGCCCCGTTCTTCCCTCGCTTTGCCCGCAGCCAGTCAATTAAGGAGGATGTTTTGTTCCTTGCAGCCGGCAGAACCAGTTTGGTCTCATTCCGTGCTGAAAAGGGATCTGGATACAGAAAAAGCCATTCAACGCCCAGCTCAAGTCCTCTTGCACGATTGGCAACCCTATGAATTTCACAGTATTTTCTAAAGCAAGGATGACTACGAAATTGTGGGTTTTGCCATTTCCTCCCTTTGGGATTCCTTGGTGGTCTCCCATCCAAGTGCCAACCAAGGCAGACCCTGCTTAGCTTTCAAAGGCAACATGTTTATGTGACACCTGATACTTACGTGCTCCAGATGAACTCGGTGGGCATGGGGTTGCCATCAGCACGACAGGTCAGCATGGCCTCATTGCGACTCAGGTACCAATTGTCGTCATAACCCACAATGGACACCTCGGGAGGATCTAAGGGGAAAAAACACAAGAATATATCAATCCTTCCACTTTACTGCTAATCCCCAGAGTTGGGAAGGACCACAAAGAACATCTAGTTCAACCCCTTGACCTACGAGGAGTTCACCTTTGGAGAAATGTCCATCCAATCTCTGCTTGAAGGCCTCCAAAGAAGCAGAGCCTACCACCATTTGAAGTGGTCCATATTCCAATTTCAAAGGTTTCTTACAGTCAAGATGTTCTTCCTAGTATGTAGATGGAATCTATATTCTTGCAATTTGAACTGGATTGGATTCCAGTTTCCAGAGAAGCCAAAAAACAGCAGGTTCCATCTTCTCCTTGATGTCCCTCAAGATACATCAAGATCTCTTCTTACAATTCAAAATATGTCAAGATCTCTAGATCACCTCGATGTTTCCCCAAGACACATCAAGATCTCTAGATCTCTTCTTGATGTTCCTAAAGATGCATCAAGATCTCTAGATCTCTTCTCTCTGGTGCCCATCTTGAAGGATGTCAAAGAGAAGAGATCTAGGGATCTTGATGTATCTAGAGGCGAGATCTAGAGATTGATGTTTCTTTAGAAACATCAAGAAATGAGACGTTGATGTGTCTTGAGGGACATCAAGGAGAAAAGACCAAAACACATCAAGGTCTCTTTTCTTGATGTTCCTAAAGAAACACTGATCTCTAGATCTCTTCTCTTTGATGTCACTCAAGATACATCAAGATCCCTAGATCTCTTCTCTTTGACATCCTTCAAGATACATCAGGTTCTAGATACATCAAGATCTCTTCTCCTTCACACCTCTCAAAATACATCAAGATCTTGAGATCAGTTCTCTTTGATGGCCTTCAAGATATATCATGATTGCTTCTCCTTGACGTCCTTCAAGATACTTCAAGATCTATAGATCTCTTCAGTGCCCCTCAAGCTCACAAGATCTCTTATCCTTAATGTCCTTCAAGACACATCAAGCTCTAGATCAGTGGTTCTCAACCTGTGGGTTCCTAGGTGTTTTGGCCGACAACTCCCAGAATCACAGCCAGTTTACCAACTCTTAGGATTTATGTGAGTTGAAGGCCAAAACATCTGGGGACCCACAGGTTGAAAACCACTGCTCTATATCTTTTCTCCTCAATGTTTCCCCACAACACATCAAGATCTCCTTCTTGATGTCACTCAAGATACATCAAGATCTTGACATCCTCCAAGACACATCAAGTTCTAGATCTTTTCTCTTTGATGCTTCCCAAGGCACATCAAAATCACTTCTTCACACCCCACAAGATACATCAAGATCTCTTCTTGCTATTCAAAATACGTCAGTCTCTGGATCTCTTCTCCTTGATGCCCCTCAAGATAAATCAAGATTACAACTTCTGTTCTCTTTGATTCCCTTCAAGATCACAAGATCTTCTCTCCTTGTCATTCTACAAGAGACATCAAGTTCTAGATCTCTTCTCTTTGTCCCCCAAGGCACATCAAGATCTCTTCACCTTGAAGCCCCTCAAGATACATCAAGATCTCTGTGTCTCTTCTTCTAGGTGACCTGTAGATCTCTTCCCGTCAAACCTCTCCACCATTTCTGAGACCTCTCCACCCCCACCCCACCAAAAGGAGAAACCCCAAGGGTCACTCACACAGGATGGAGAGGGTGACGGGGAGGGCTTCAGGTTGGGGCAGGGCTTTGTGCTCCACCACACAGGTGATCCGCTGCCCGTTGGCCTCCTTGCTGGGCACCAGGCGGTAATGGCTGGTGACGGTGACAGTGCCATCAGCGTTGGTGACCTCCGAGATGCTGGAGTTGCCTCCGAGGCTGGACTGCCAGGTGATGCGGGCGGGGGGCTTGCCATGGGCGGAGGTGCAGGTGGCCACAGGCTGCTCCAGGCTGCTGACCTTCACCTCCTGGGCCTCGGCTGTGTTGGTGGGCTTGGCTACGGAGGGGACAAAGAGAGGGAGAAGTGAGTGTGTGAGTGTGCAAACTGATGTGGAATCGCAGTCCTTTTTGGGTGCTTCAACACTTTGCACTTGCAAGGAGAAAAGCACATCTCCCCGCAGGTAGAGCTCAAGCATGTAAAGGAGAAAGAGCATATCTACAAGCATTTAAACAGAAATGCAAATCATCATCATCATCTTCACAACTGTAGTCTCAGTGATTTGTATTTCAGACCGGTCTTCATCCTTATCCACCAACAAGTGCTGAGGCCTTGCGAAACTACAGATCCCAGGATTCCATAGCATTGAGCCATGCTAGTTCAAGGCATTCATCCTACAGTGTAGATCCACCATAAGGAGTGATGGACTCTGTGTGCGCTCTTTGATGGACATATCACGCCATTGATTGACCAATGCAACAATGCACAATGGCAACACCAAAGTATGGAAATACACTGCACAATTAATGCAGTTTGACGTCACTTTTAACCGCAATGGAATCGTGGGACTTATAGTTTGGTGTGGTCCCAGCACTCTTTGCCAGGGAAGGATGAAGACCTTGCAAAACTGCAGTTGTTATTGTTGTTTTGTTGTTGTTGTTGTTGTTAACTAATGCACAAGAGGAAAGAGGTTCCAGGCTGGAGTGCATGCATATCACGCCACTGATTGACCAATGCAACAATGCACAATGGCAACACCAAAGTATGGAAATACACTGCAAAATTAATGCGGTTTGACGTCACTTTTAACCGCAATGGAATCGTGAGAGTTATAGTTTGGTGTGGTCCCAGCACTCTTTGCCAGGGAAGGATAAAGACCTTGCAAAACTGCAGTTGTTATTGTTGTTTTGTTGTTATTGTTGTTAACTAATGCACAAGAGGAAAGAGGTTCCAGGCTGGAGTGCACGCTTATCACGCCATTGATTGACCAATGCAACAATGCACAATGGCAACACCAAAGTATGGAAATACACTGCAAAATTAATGCGGTTTGACGTCACTTTTAACCGCAATGGAATCGTGAGAGTTATAGTTTGGTGTGGTCCCAGCACTCTTTGCCAGGGAAGGATGAAGACCTTGCAAAACTGCAGTTGTTATTGTTGTTTTGTTGTTGTTATTGTTGTTAACTAATGCACAAGAGGAAAGAGGTTCCAGGCTGGAGTGCACGCTTATCACGCCATTGATTGACCAATGCAACAATGCACAATGGCAACACCAAAGTATGGAAATACACTGCAAAATTAATGCGGTTTGACGTCACTTTTAACCGCAATGGAATCGTGAGAGTTATAGTTTGGTGTGGTCCCAGCACTCTTTGCCAGGAAAGGATAAAGACCTTGCAAAACTGCCGTTGTTGTTGTTTTGTCGTTGTTGTTGTTAACTAATGCACAAGAGGAAAGAGGTTTCCAATATCCAACGCTGGAGTGCATGCATGCTGTAGAACGATTGTCGTTAATTGATTGACCCATGCAATGATGCATAATGACACGACTTTAATTGCCCTACTTCAGTGCTATCGAATTCAGGGAGATGTAGTTTTACAAGGCCAACAATCCCAACTGCAGCTCTCTGTGAAGTTATTCAAAGTACTAGGAAAATGGAGCTGAAATCTGGACTTTGCTGAGCGGCTCCGTCTCCTTTTTCATTTGCTTCCTGGCAGCTTTGCAATCTTCGCTCAGGTCAAAAATGTGACCCCAGTTTAAAAGCGAGCGGCACCAGTGTAAACACCATTAAAGCCTCAGAGTCCCTCCTGACCGATTCAAGTAGGAGGAAATCTTGCCAAAATCTTGCAGAGTGTTCCCTTTTGCCAAGGAGAAGAGAGAGAGAGAGAGAGAGGCCGGTTCACAATCTCCGCAAATGGTTGGCGTTTCCAAACAAAGGTGCATCTGCACTGTAGAGTTAACTCACTTTGACGCCACTTTGTGGCTCCATGCTCTGGAATCTTAGGAGTACATCTTTTTCAAGGTGTCTCTCCAAACTATAACTTCCAGGATTCCAGAGCATTGAGCCATAACATGGTGTCAAACTGCATTCATTCTACAGTGTAAACATACCCAAAGTGTCCCTAAACTGCATTAATTGGAGATACACCCAAAGTGTCCCAAAACTGCATTCATTCTACGGTGTAGATGCACCCAAAGCACCACCAAATGGCATTCATTCACACCCAAAGTGTCCCTAAACCGAATCAATTGTACAGTATAGAAGATGCACTCAAATGGCATTCATTCTACATTGTAGATGCACCCAAAATATCCCAAAACTGCATCAATTCTACAGTGTAGATGCATCCAAAGAGCCATCACACTGCATTCATTCTATAGTGTTGATACATCAAAAGCGTGTTAATTCTACAGTGTAGATGCACCCAAAGTGCCATCAAACTGCATTCATTCTATAGTATAGATGCACCGAAAGTATCCTCAAACTGTATCCAATCTAGGTGCACCCAAAGTGTCCTTAAACTACATTCATTCTACAGTGTAGATGCACCCAAAGCACCATCAAACTGTATTCATTCTACAGTGTACATGCACCCAAAGTGTCCCCAAACTGCATCAATTCTACAGTGTAGATGTACCCAAAGTGGCATCACACTGTATTCATTCTAGAGTGTTGATGCACCCAAAGCACCATTGAAAGTGTATTAATTCTATAGTGTGGATGCACCCAAAGTGTCTCCAAACCACATCAATTTTACAGTGTACATGCACCCAAAGGGTCCTCAAACTGCATCCAATCTAGATGCACCCAAAGCACCATCAAACTACAGTGTAGATGCATCCAAAGTGTCCCCAAACTGCATCCAATTTAGATGCCCCCAAAGTGTCCTTAAATTGCATTCATTCTACAGTGTAGATGCACCCAAAGTGTCTCCAAACTGCGTCAATTCTACAATGCAGATGCACCCAAAGCGGCATCACACTGCATTTATTCTATAGTGTTGATGCATCGAAAGTGTATTAATTCTACAGTGTGGATGCACCCAAAGCGCCATCAAACTACATTCATTCTAAAGCATACATGCACCCAAAGTGTCCCCAAACTGCATCCAATCTAGATGCATCCTAAGCACCATCAAATTACATTCATTCTACAGTGTAGATGCACCCAAAGTGTCCCAAAACTGCATTCAATCAAGATGCACCAAAGTGTCTCCAAACTGCATTCAATCTAGATGCACCCACAGTGTCCTTAAACTGCATTCATTCTACACTGTAGATGCACCCAAAGCGGCATCATACTGCATTCATTCTTTAGTGTTGCTGCATCGAAAGTGTATTATTTCTACAGTGTAGATGCTCCCAAAGTGTTCCCAAACTCCATCCAATCTAGATGCACCCAAAGTGTCTCCAAAACTCATCAATTCTACAGTGTAGATGCTCCCAAATTGTCCCCAAATTGCATCCAATCTAGATGCACCAAAGTATCTCCAAACTGCATCAATTCTATAGTGCAGATGCACCCAAAGTGTCCTTAAACTGCATTCATTCTACAGTGTAGATGCACCAAAGTGTCCCCAAACTGCATTAATTCTAGATGCAACCAAAGTGTTTCCAAACTGCATCAATTCTACAGTGTAGATGCACAAAAAGTGTCCCCAAACTGCATCCAATTTGGATGCACCAAAGTGTCTCCAAACTGCATCAATTCTACAGTGTGGATGTGCCCAAAGTATCCCCAAACTGCATTCAATCTAGATGTACCAACGTGTCTCCAAACTGCATCAATTTCTACAGTGTGGATGTGCCCAAAGTGTCCCCAAACTGCATTCAATCTAGATACACCAAAGTCTCTCCAAACCCCATCAATTCTACAGTGTAGATGCACCCAAAGTGTCCCCAAACTGCATCCAATCTAGATGCATCCAAAGCGCCAGCAAACTACATTCATTCTACAGTGTAGATGCATCCAAAGTGTCCCAAAACTGCCTTCAATCAAGATGCACCAACATGTCTACAAACTGCATCTATTCTACAGTGTAGATGCACACAAAGTATCCTTAAACTACATTCAGTGTAGATGCATCCAAAGTGTCCCCAAACTGCATTCAATCTAGATGCACCCAAAGCGTCTCCAAACTGCATCAATTCTACAGTATAGATGTACCCAAAGTGTCCTTAAACTACATTCATTCTACAGTGTAGATGCATCCAAAGTGTCCCCAAACTGCATTCAATCAAGATGCACCCAAAGTGTCCTTAAACTGCATTCATTCTACAGTGTAGATGCACCTCACTGCACTTATTCTGTAGTGTTGATGCATCAAAAGTGTATTAATTCTAAAGTGTGGATGCACCCAAAGTGTTCCCAAACTCCATCCAATCTAGATTCACCCAAAGTGTCTCCAAAACTCATCAATTCTACAGTGTAGATGCTCCCAAATTATCCCCAAATTGCATCCAATCTAGATGCACCAAAGTGTCTCCGAACTGCATCAATTCTACAGTGTGGATGCACCCAAAGTGTCCTTAAACTGCATTCATTCTACAGTGTGGATGCACCCAAAGTGTCCCCAAACTGCATTAATTCTAGATGCATCCAAAGTGTTCCTAAACCACATCAATTCTACAGTGCAGATGCACCCAAAGCGCCATCAAACCGCTCTTTCGGTTTCCACTCTCGCTTGGCTTGACCTTAACCAGGAATTCCGGTTGCGGTGAGACCCCCAGGTGGGAACCGGGAATCCCTTCCTTTCCAATTAAGCACGGCCAAATTATTATAAATAGCCGTGCGGGGCTTCAATGACCTTCTTGCTGAGCCGGGAACGTGGACACCAGGCCCCCTCGGCACTTTCTGTCCCAAAGCCCGGCGTGGCTTTTGTTTGCAGTAAATACATACAAACATGTTGTTTTCTCTGCGACTTTGAGGTGAGGGCTCGTTGCTGCTGATGCCGCTGCTCCGGATTCCGTTACAGCAACAACAACAACAACAAACCGGTCGGTAATGAAATGCAAAGAATGAGGACACGCCACAGCTTTGGAAAGCTATTCAGCGGCCGATTTGCAATGGCCCCGAGGAAGCAATTTCAATGCGTTTGGGCCCTCCCCGTCCAAAGAGAGCCAGATGGAGGCAATTTGCATCGATTGACAATAACTGGGAGCACGAGCCACAGTTTGAAGGCAATCGCAAAATCGTTGGCGTGCCTGTTATGCGCAGAGTGACAGGCAGAGAGCTTTGGAAAACACAACATTGCACCGGAGGACCTGGACAATCCCTCCCCAATGAGGTCCTATGGTCCTCTGTGACCACAGAACTGTTTTGGAGGCCTAGAGACCTTGTAAAAACTACATCTCCCAGGATTCCACAACACAGAGCCATGGCAGACGAACTGTGTCAACTCAACAGTTGTAGTTGCACCTGCTCAGTCTCAAGCACAATGACAGTCAATGATAATGATGCCAAAATAACCTACAAAACTACAACTCCCAGGATTCCATGCTAACACTAGTAGTAAACTTAATAATATAATAACTTAACAATGCTAATACTACTAGTAGTAGTAATGCCGTAGTAATTATAACTTAATAGTTTACTAACAATGACAACACTACTACCAGTAGTATTATCGTAATAGTTATAACTTAATAATCTACTAACTTACAATGCTAATACCATCATTAGTAGTAATATCAATTAGTAATATACTAACCCAACAATGCAAATACTACCACTGGAAATATTAACACAATAGCAATAACTTAACATACTAACTTAATGTTAGTACTACCACTAGTCATAATAACATCGTAGTAATAGTTTTATAACATATTAACAATGCTAATACTACCACTAGTCATAACATAGTAACTTAATAAGATACTAAACAATGCTAATACTAACAGTAAACTTAGTAAACTAATAGTAATAACATAGTAGTAATAACTTAATAATATACTAACAGAACAATGCTAATACTACCACTAGTCACAATAACATAGTAGTAGTAACTTAAACAATGTTACTAAACAATGTTCATCATAATAGTAAACTTAATAAACTAGTAGTAATAACCTAGTAGTAATAACTTAATAACATGCTAACATAACAATGCTAATACTACCACTAGTAGTAGTAATAATATTCTAACTTAACAATGCCAATACTACAATCTATATATAAAAATAAAACAGGACTTAATATTAATAGTAACATTTTAACAACATACTTACTCAATAATGCTAACACAAATGTAATAACATTCTAACATTCTACCACTAGTCATAATAACATAGTAGTAGCAACGTAATAATATACTAAACAATGCTACTACTAATAGTAAACTTAGTAAGCTAGTAGTAATAACCTAGTAGTAATAACTTAATAAAATGCTAACATAACAATGGTAACACTACCACTAGTAATAATAGCATAGTAACTTAATATACTAAACATTGCTAATACTAACAGTAAACTTAGTAAAGAAGTAGTAATAACCTAGTAGTAATAACTTAGTAATATGCTAACTTAACAATGCTAATACTACCACTAGTAATAATAGCATAGTAACTTAATATACTAAACAATGCTAATACTAACAATAAACTTAGTACAGTAGTAGTAATAACTTAATAATATGCTAACATAACAATGCTAATACTACCACTAGTAGTAATAATAATAATAATATACTAACTTAACAGTGCCAATACTACATACTACAATATATATATAAAAATAAAATAATAGAACTTAATATTAATAGTAACATTTTAACAACATACTCAGTAATGCTAACACAAATATAATAAGGATGTTTATAGTAATTATAAAATCTACCACTATATTAATAATAATATAATGACATAATTGTGATATTAATAATATTAGAATACAAGTTGGAAGAGACTCCAGTGGCCATGTAGTCCAACCCCAATCCGTCATGAAGGAAAAACACAATCAAAGCACCAATGACAGACGGCCAGCCAACCTCTGTTTAAAAGCCACCAAGGAAGGCTTTTTAGTATTACTATGAATAATAACAATAGCAATGCTATGCAACAATATCTGAAAAGTTTCCTGTTCCTGGTTTGAAAGTGTTATTTCCTGTTTAACTGGGCGGTCCTGATTCTGTACTCCAGAAACTTCGTATTTGTGGCACAAACGATTCTGAAGTGGTTGAGACTCGATGAGAATCATTGGGAAACTAGAACAAAATGTGCTATTGCAGGATGTCCCAGATTCTTGGCAGTTCAATAAACTCTTCCCATGTGTTTATGATGGAGGAGGGCGACTAAAATGATGAAAGGACTGGAGAACAAGCCCTATGAGGAGCGGCTTAAAGAGCTGGGCATGTTTAGCCTGAAGAAGAGAAGGATGAGAGGGGGCATGATGAGGGCCAGGTATAAATATGTGAGAGAAAGTCATAGGGAAGAGGGAGCAGATCAAGGGTCTGGAGAACAAGCCCTATGAGGAGCGGCTTAAAGAGCTTGGCATGTTTAGCCTGAAGAAGAGAAGGCTGAGAGGAGACATGATGAGGGCCATGTATAAATATGTGAGAGGAAGTTCTAGGGAGGAGGGAACGAACTTGTTTTCTGCTTCCCTGGAGACTAGGACGCAATGGATCAATGGCTTCAAACTACAAGAAAGGAGATTCCACCTGAACTTCCTAAATGTGTTCACCAGTGGAACTCTCTACCCCAAAGTGTGGCGGAGGCTCCTTCTATGGAGGCTTTTACGCAAAGGCTGGATGGCCATCTGTTGGGGGTGCTTTGAACGCGATTGTCCTGCTTCTTGGCAGAATGGGGTTGGACTGGATGGCCCACGAGGTCTCTTCCAACTCTAGGATTCTATGATTCTACTAGCCGTCCCCTGCCACATTGCTGTGGCCCACTCTGGTGGTCATGGGGGTTGTGTGTGGGAGGTTTGGCCCAATTCTATCGTTGGTGATGTTCAGAATGCTTTGTGATTGTAGGTGAACTATAAATCCCAGCAACTACAACTCCCAAATGTTAAGATTCTATTTTCCCCAAACTCCACCAGTGTTCACATTTGGGCATATTGAGTATTCGTGTAGAGTTTGGTCCAGATCCATCATTGTTTGAGTCCACAGTGATCTCTGGATGTAGGTGATCTACAACTCCAAAACCAAAGGACACTGCCCACCAAACCCTTCCAGTATTTTCTGTTGGTCATGGGAGAACTGTGTGCCAAGTTTGGTTCAATTCCATCATTGGTGGGGTTCAGAATGCTCTTTGATTGTAGGTGAACTATAAATCCCAGCAACTACAACTCCCAAATGACAAAATCAATTTTTTTGAGTGAAGGACATACATTGGGTTAGGTGTCTTGTGTCCAAATTTGGTGTCAATTCATCTTGTGGTTTTTTAGTTTGTTAATCCCACAAACGAACATTTATTGCCATAGATATAGAATCATAGAATCATAGAATCAAGGAGTTGGAAGAGACCTCCTGGGCCATCCAGTCCAACCCCATTCTGCCAAGAAGCAGGAATATTGCATTCAAATCACCCCTGACAGATGGCCATCCAGCCTCTGTTTAAAAGCTTCCAAAGAAGGAGCCTCCACCACACTCCGGGGCAGAGAGTTCCACTGCTGAACGGCTCTCACAGTCAGGAAGTATAGATGACAGAATGGACTGGGAAATGGTATTGATAACCCAGGAGGGAGAATGATAACGTTGCTTACCGAGGACGATGAGGTGTGTGACGCCGTCCTGGTTTCCCCCGGGGTAGGTGGCGAACTCGCAGAAGTAGGTGCCCTCGTCGTCCAGGCGCAGGGGCCCGATGACCAGGGTGGTGTCCTCCAGCGAGGGGGTGCGGAAGCGGATGCGTGTGCCCTCGCGGTCCATGGGGAAGCTGGGCCCGTGCTCCGGGTGGTAGACCGCCACGTTCTGCTTGCGCCCAGACGCCTCCTTCATCCAGGTCACCTGGCTGACCTTGATGTCCGGAGCCGCCTTCACAAAGTGACAGGGCAGCACTGCCTCCTGGCCCAGGAAGCCCGTCACCTCATCGCGTACACGCACCGTCTGCCCCAGCGAGCCTGCAACGAGCAAGCGGGAGAGGAGAACATCATGAGGACGACAATCATAATAATAATAATAATAATAATAATAATAATAATACAAGGAGGTGACTCAGTGAGTCTCATTTAAGAGAGGAAGACAGGGAATAACAACAACAACAACATTATTACTATTATTATTATTATTAGTAGTAGTAGTAGTAGTAGTAGTAGTAGTAGTAGTATCGTATCTGTTGTGACTCAGGTAACAGAGATTGTCTTACACAGCAATTGAAGTGTTAATAGCAGTCTTTAATGAGTCTCTAACTGAAAAAAGCACTTAACAGCAGTGCAATTAGCAAAACAAAACAGCCTTCAGTCAGGTAAACAAAGAAGTGATAAGCCGGATCTTCCAGGACTTGAGCTCAGCAAAAAAACTGGTATTAGATACGTTGTACTCCAGAGCAGGAACACCTCTGTCCTTAAACACCACACCAGACTGGTATATAATCAGCAAGTAGTTTATTGAAGAATATATGTAAGCAAAGCAGTAAAAATGGTAAAAAGAGTCAAATCCAAAGATACAAGGTAAGTCCATGAGCTCCAAGATCCAAAGGTATAAAATCCATAGAACGAGGCAGCATAAACATCCAAAAAGCCCAGCAAAACTTGAAACATGGAACTAAGAACACTTGGAAACAAGACCATCATGAAATCCCAATGTTGACAAGACTGAGCTAACTCTTTCCCTTGTATCAATATAAAGCTTTTCCTGACCCCAGAACTGAAAGGAAAGCATTTCTTTTGTCGTTACAACCAGATATGGGTTTCTTATCTCTCCTTTACTGCAGACGAATTTACCTTCCTTGCACCTGAGAACTTTGTCTCTAGAGAAGGATTGCAAGACTACAGCAATATCGAAGCGCATGAATACAACAGTATAGATGCACCTAGAGAAGGATTGCAAAATTACACCAAAGTGCATGAATACAACAGTATAGATGCACCTAGAGAAGGATTGCAAAATTACACCAAAGTGCATGAATACAACAGTATAGATGCAACTAGAGAAGGCTTGCAAAAGTATACCAAAGTGCATGAATACAATAGTATAGATGCATTTAGAGAAGGATGGCAAAATTATACCAAAGTGCATGAATACAACAGTAAAGATGCATCTAGAGAAGGCTTGCAACAGTGTACCAAAGTGCATGAATACAGCAGTATAGATGCATCTAGGGAAGGATTGCAACATTATACCAAAGTGCATCAATAGATGCATCTAGAGAAGGCTTGCAACAGTGTACCAAAGTGCATGAATACAGCAATATAGATGCATCTAGAGAAGGCTTGCAACATTATACCAAAGTGCATCAATAGATCCATCTAGAGAAGGCTTGCAAAAGCGTACCAAAGTGCATGAATACAACATTATAGGTGCATCTAGAGAAGGCTTGCAAAACTACAGCAATATCAAAGTGCATGAATATAATAGTATAGATGCATCTAGAGAAGGATTGCAAAATTATACCAAAGTCCATGAATACAATAGTATAGATGCATCTAGAGGCTTGCAAAATTGTACTGAAGTGCATTAATACAACAGTACAGATGCATCTAGAGAAGGATTGCAAAAGTATACCAAAGTGCATGAATACAATAGTATAGATGCATCTAGAGAAGATTGCAAAATTATACCGAAGTGCATTAATGCAACGGTATAGATGCATCTAGAGAAGGATTGCAAAATTATACCAAAGTGCATTAATGCAACAGTATAGATGCATCTAAAGAAGGATTGCAAAATTATACCGAAGTGCATTAATGCAATGGTATAGATGAATCTAGAGAAGGCTTGCAAAAGTATACCAAAGTGTATGAATGCAACTATTGATGCACCTAGAGAAGGCTTGCAAAATGATACCAGTGCATGAATACAACAATATAGATGCAACTTGAGAAGGCTTGCAAAATTATACCAAAGTGCATGAATGCAACAGTATAGATGCATCTAGAGAGGGATTGCAAAATTGCACCAAAGTACATTAATGCAACAGTATAGATGCACCTAATTGTATACTGTGCACTGTATATTTTGTTGTAAACCGCGTTGAGTCGCCAATTAGGCTGAGAAACAGCGGTATACAAGGACAGTAAATAAATAAATAAATAAATAAATAAATAGAGAAAATTATACCAAAGTGCATGAATGCAACAGTATAGATGCATCCTGGGGAGGCTTGCAAAGCCCCCACTCCCAGCGTGCCAGAGCATTAAGCCATGGCATTCAAAGTGCATCAATTCCACAGTGTAGGTGCATCCCGAGTTAAAATGCCTTTCCCCCCCTCTTCTCCGAAACTGTCAGGTTCAGGTTTGCATCGCAGGAGCCTTTTGCAAATCCAGATGAAGGATCGTTTCCGACAGGCGAGCCATGAATAAGTAAAAGGAGGAGAGCGCGCAGTTTGCAAAGTACCGCCGTTCCCGGCCTCCAGAGGATCCGGCACACTTCCGTGACGCCAAGGACAAAATGCGCAGAAACCCAGAAGAGAGGAGGGAACGCCAGGGAGTTTTAGCGCCAGCTTTTGGGGGCTCTCTGGGATGCAATGGCGCATTAGGCCCTGCTCCATTTAATGCGCACCTTTGCGCCCGTTCTGCTCGGCAGCTAAACGGCGAAAATGCATGCTTCCCCCAGGAACGCCGGAACAAAAACCAGCCCAATTTGTAGCTATGCTCAGGCACTCTCTTCCATGAGTCACCCTCTCCCCAAGTTGACTCTGGGTGCATCTACACTGTTGGCTTAATCCGGTTTGGCACCACTTGAATTGCCATGGCTCAAGGCTAGGGAATCAAGAGAGTTGTAGTGATAGCTGATGATGAAGATGATACGCTTGACAAGGTCAAAGAGCGCAAGCTACAAATCCCAGGATCCCATGGCACAGAGCCAGGGCAACCCAAGTGGTGCCAAACTGCATTAATTCTGCAGTGTAGACGCACCCTATGATCAAGTCCTGCTGATGATGGCACAGGAAGTTCTAGAGGTTCCTCAATCTAATCCGAGAATAATCAAACCCAGAAAAATAGTCAAAACTGCACATTTTTAATTATTTTTAAAGTGCTTAAATTATTCTGCTTTGGCAACCTAATGTAAGAAGACAAATAAGGAGAGGAAGAAGAGGAGGAAGAGCTGGAAGAAGAAGAGAAGGAAGGGGAAAGAGGAGAGGAAGGAGAAAAAGGAGAGGAAGCAGAAGGAAAAGATGCAAAAGGAGAAGAGGAAAGAGGAAATGAAGTAGAGAGAGATGGAGATGGAGAAGAAGAGGGAGGAGAAGGAGGAAACAGAAGGAGATTGGAGAAAGGGAAAGAGGAAAGGAAGCAGGACATAGAGGAGGAGAAAAAGAAGTGGAAGGAGGAGAGGAAGGAGAAAAGGGAAACTGGAGAAAGGGAGAGGTAAGGAAGCAAAAGCAGGTGGAGGAAGAGAAGAGGAAGCAGAAGGAGGAGAGGAAACAGGAGGAGATGGAGAAGAAGAAGTAAAAGGGAGAGAGGAAGAAGAAAAAGGAGAGGAAGGGGGAGGAGAAGTAGTAGAAACAAGGAGCGAAAGGAGAAAAAGAAGAAGAGGAAACAAGGAGATTGGAAAAAGGGAAGGAAGGAAGGAAGGAAGGAAGGAAGGAAGGAAGGAAGGAAGGAAGGAAGGAAGGGAGATGGAAAGGAAAGGAAGTAGGAGGAGGTGGGGAGATAACGATATTGGAGAAGGAGGGAGAAGGAGGAGAGGAAAGGAAGCAGAAGGAAATGGAGAAGGAGAAGAGGAAGTGGGAGAAAAAAGAAAGCAGGAAATTGAGAAGAGTGGAAGGAGAAGAGGAAAAATAAAAGAAGCAGAAAGAGATTGAGAAGAGAAATTGGGTGAAAGAGGAAAGAAAGCAGGAAATGGAGAGAAAGAGGAAATGGAAAGAAGAGAGGAAAATGAAAAGAAGCAGAAGGAGATGGAGAAGAAGTGGGTGAAAGAGGAGAGAAATCAGGAAATGGAGAGGAAGAGGAAATGGAAAGAAGAGAGGAAAAGAGAGAGGAAAATGAAAAGGAGCCGAAGGAGATGGAGAAGAGGAAGTGGGTGAAAGAGGAAAGAAAGCAGGAAATGGCAAAGAAGAGGAAGTAGAAGAGGAAAAAGAAAATGTGATGGAGATGGAGAAGAGAAAGTGGGTGAAAGAGGAAAGAAAGCAGGAAATGGCAAAGAAGAGGAAGTGGAAAGAAGAGAGGAAAGTGAAAAGAAGAAGAGGAAATTGAGAAGAGGCAAAAGAGGATGAGGATGGGGGAGAGGAAGAAGCAGGAGGAGGGAGAAAGAGGAGAGGAAAGAAAGCAGGAAATGGAGAAGAAGTGGAAAGAAGAGAGGAAAATTAAAAGAAGTAGAAGGAAATGGAGAAGAGGCAAAAGAAGATGAGGATGGGGGAGAAGAGGAAGCAGAAGGAGGGAGAAAGAGGAGAGGAAAGAAAGCAGGAAATGGAGAGGAAGAGGAAGCGGAAAGAAGAGAGGAAATGAGAAGAAGAGAGAAAATGAAAAGAAGAAGGAAATGGAGAAGGAGAAAAGGCAACAGAAGTCGAGGATGGGTGAGAGGAAGCAGAAGGAGGGAGATAGAGGAGAGGAAAGAAAGCAGTAAATGGAGAGGAAGAGGAAGTGGAAAAAAGAGAGGAAAATGAAAAGAAGAAGGAAATGGAGAAGGAGAAGAAGCAAAAGAAGATGAGGATGTGGGAGAGGAAGAAGCAGAAGGAGGGAGAAAGAGGAAAGAAAGCAGGAAATGTAGAAGGAGAAGAGGTAAAAGAAGACGAGGATGGGGGAGAGGAAGAAGCAGAAGGAGGGAGAAAGAGGAGAGGAAAGAAAGCAGGAAATGGAGAGGAAGAGGAAGTGGAAAGAAGAGAGGAAAATGAAAAGAAGTAGAAGGAAATGAAGAAGGAGAAGAAGCAAAAGACGACGAAGATGGGGAAGAGGAAGAAGCAGAAGGAGGGAGAAAGAGGAGAGGAAAGAAAGCAGGAAATGTAGAAGGAGAAGAGGCAAAA